ACTGTTTACCCTGGAGGGCGCGACATGGAGAAAGAGAGAGAGAGAGAGAGAGAGAGAGAGTCGGAGTGAGCCGCCGTTAAAACCACGGTCGACTCTATACGACCTACCGCTCCGTTTGATAAATAATGCGGTTTTGCATTTTACGCGGGAAAACTTTCGGATATCGAGTCGCGGCGCGACAGCGAACAAGAGTCCGCGGAAATTCGTAATTCAATTAAATCCGCACCGCGATTCCGTCGATCATTTCGACGCGATGTGCGATTTTCAGAGTGAAGATCTTACGCGAGATTATTTCGCGCTAAAGTTTGAGAATAGAAATTCATTAATATCAGCGAAGCATTAGCGTGACGTCGTATAGCGACGTCCGGCTCGTTTTCTATGAGCATTGCCGAAATTTCACTGACAATTTGACTGCTCGCGAAACGAAGTTAATAGCAACTCGGGCGACGCGACTAGAAAGTACAGCCCCGTCGATCGCAGTTTCGCGGCGCGCGCACGGCGAAGATTGCGAAGTTTCACCGAGGATTCCTTACAAAGCCTGACTTATTTAGCCCCGAGCCTGCGATGGGCGCCACCTCTCTACACCCTCCTCCGTTCGCAGTCGCTTTGACTTGGTTTGCACCGGTGGCGGAGCACCGAGTGGCGGGTACTTCGCGAGAGGAGGGCGAGAAAGAGAGAGAGAAAGAGAGAGAAAGAGAGAGAGAGAGAGAGAGAGAGAGAGAGAGAGAGATGGTGAGGAAGCGAGAGCGGAACAGGCGGAAGAGGAAGGTTGCAAGGAGCGAGCTTGAAAGGACGAAACGCTCTTTTGTCGGTGCCCTCTACACCGCAGAACTTTATTAATTGCGCGTTTTGTTATGCAGATTCCTGCAGAGCCAGTCTCAGTCTTCCAACTCTCTGCTCTGCCCGAAGCAACCTTGTCTGCTCTCGGTCCTCGCGCGACCCCATTAACTCTCCGTTGGATCGCCTGCGAGAGAGAGAGAGAGAGAAAGAGAGAGAGAGAGAGAGAGTCCAAGGGACCCCGCCTTTAAAAGATTACCCCTCGAATTCATTGCCTTCAATTGGGAAAACTTTGCGCATTCTGCAACGATCTTTTCCGTCGTCGTATTTCACGCGTCCCGGACACGAGAGCGCGACATTTCAAGATTGCATTTTGATGCGCTCACGAGTGAACAACACTCGTAAACGAGAGTTTATAAACGCGGCGTCGTTGTACATAACAAGCAAACGTGACAAATTTATATTCTCGTGTGTTCAGCATTATTCATGCTGATTGGCTTCCGCGTCGTCAAACAATCAAACAATCGAGAAACAAATTGTCGGCAAGTCTTGAAATTCACGGAAATGATTCAAAACCAATAGTTCCACGCCGTGAAAAAAAAAAAAAAAACACCGCCAAGAAATTAGCAATATTTTTTCCATACACACGCATATTACACGCTGGCGTTGCTGCTTACGCCGGCGTAATTTTGTCGTAAGCTGTTAGTTCGCGTTGACGTGATCGCAAGCAAGCTAGCTCTCTCTTCCGTCGCGGACGCGCATCGATAATTAGCCCATTAGGAAATTAAAAGTCCTGCGAGTACTGAGAAGGCGGGACGGAGAGATACCGTTTTGTTTCGTCCGAAGCGTTCTGTTGCAACGGCGCACAGTCATTACCCCTCCCTCCCCCCTCGTCTGAGCCAAAACGAAATATTCCTCCGGGAAATACAGCATAAGAACCGCTTAAGAGCATCGGCCTTTCGTTCACTGTCCTCTTTCGGTCCTTCTTCCACTTCTTTATGATAGTCCGTGACGCATCGAATACTTATGCCAAGCTGATGTAAATTTTCTCTCCCAATGTTTTCGTACACTGGACAATCGCTCGGACAAGACTATCAACACCAGACGTAATTAGCATGATCAAGGACGCAGTAAAAAGACGACAAACAGAAAAATATTATCATTGCAAAACAAATTTCGACATTCTACGAATACGTGTATTTTTCAAAGAAGAGCTTTAATATTTTTTAAAATTAAATATATAAATTCATATTACATTAATAATTAACAAATGAATATTTTTTAGAATTAAAAGGTCATTATGATAAATCGAATATAAGTATGTAAATTTTTTTTTTTTTTTCTATGAGCATAATTATTATGTTACTGCATTTACATAATATATATTTTATTCATCTTTTATTACTAACACAGCTCATTCTTAATTAGTATTTCTTATACATCGCAATAATAATTGAAAGTTTAAAAAAGAAAATGAAAAATTTTTATAAGACAAGAGAGAGAGAGAGAGAGAGAAAGAGAGAAAGAAGAAAGAAAAAGCAAAACAAAAGTGAGAAATAGATGAGGAAATGAAAGACAGAAAAAAAGATGAGAATCGCAGACGAGGAAGAGTAGTAAGGAATCCGCTGATGCGGCGAGATATGTATCATGCCAGCCGAAAGGAAGTCGGCGATAACTCTGCTAATATCGAATATCTAAAAAACTTTAGATTTTTTTTTTTTTATTTCTCTTTTTTTCTCGCACTTTTTTCTTCGTTTTCTTCGAAACGAGACAGAACTGGATGTTTGCTTCGTGGGTGTTTTACGTTGCCTGTTACGTTGCAGAAGCTCGAGCCGGCGGCGCGCGGCGGCGTCTCGAGCGCGCCTGTATATTAAATGGTGTGTTCACGGTTCACCAGTCAAATTGAATCCCGGGCTATTGGCAGATTCTCAATAAGCTTCAACAATGGACTCTGTTACACGAGTCCCACGTTCCCCGCTCTTTCTGCTTCCCTCGTCTCGTCGTACTTTCATTCGGCACGTTCTCGCATTTCCTTGCAGGAACGTATCCACCAAGCTCGCCGTACTTCGCGCCGCTCTGGGGTTTCGTTCTTGCAAGTTGAAATCCTTAAAAGTTATCACCGACAAAATATATTCGAGAAGAAAGTGCTTTTCATCGTTGTCGCTGTTATTATTATTATTATTATTATTCTGTTTTTTTTTTTTTTTTTTTTAACTCGATGTTTCTATCCATGTAGAAGTGAACAGCGTGTTGTTTCTCACGTCACGTGTTTGTGCAAATTTGTTCTTCTCGCGCGACTGTTTAATACAAGTTGGTTACTGATTTTATTAACATTTGCGTATATACAGAATGTCGCAAAACGTGTCTTTTACGACTATTTTGGCAGAAATTATAAATTTAAAAACAGTTGTTATGTAAAACAACTGCAATTTTAAGTAAATATCTTATCGTAAGTATGTAAAACATTAACCAGATTTTGCTAATAAAAAGAAACAAGGTTAAAAACGAGCCGAACAAATACATAATTCACTATATTTAAGAAACAAATTACATATACTTAAGACATTATGCTCGGCTTGTTTTTGACTTTTTTTCTTTTTGTTGGCAAAAACTGGTTGATTTTTTTTACATTTTTTACATCACGGTAAATTGCTTACGCAACACTTCGAAACGTCTGTAACTTTTACGTAATTGTAAATAAGTTATTTAACGCATAAACAACAGTATGTTCTCAGCTGACAATTAACACAATTGCTTCCATTGTCTCTTTGATTGTTTTTTTTTTTTTAATTTTTACTTGTGAGCTACCCATTACGCAACGTAAATTATCTGAAAAGTTTATCTCATTTGATTGGAAAATTAAATTTCAAATGTGAATGTGGCACTGTTTCTTAAAATTAATTTGTATTGATGCGATAAATCAAAATGTAAAAATTATATGTACATGTTCGAAATGCACAGTAATTCATTTGAAAGTTAATGTAAAAAAAGCAACGATGTAAAAAAACAAAACGAAAAAATCAAAGCTCTATAACAAATTTTAAAGAGTTTTTACACATGGTCGGAATTTCAGTTCGCCGATATACGCGAAGAGCCGGATAGCGCGCGTGCATTGTCTGGACGAGGTTAAGAGGGTTAGACCGAGTTAGGGGATGTCCTGGGAGGAGTTGAGGAGGTAGGAGGTAGAGGGTATCGGTGTAATGAAGAGCGACAGTGGCGCCCCCAGCCATCGCTAATTTGCCGCTAAGTGCCCGGCTTTGTTTCCGTACGCTGATCCCATCGTTCGCAATATCCTGGATCCAAGGCGACGTTCCACGGTGTTTAAGAGAGAAAGCCAAATAACCTGCGGTATTACCGCAGCAATCCGTATAGATCGGGCTTGGATAGAAAAGGAATGACATAAGTGAGCGAAGCAAATACACTCGAGAAAGAGAGAGAGAGAGAGAGGGAGAGAGAGAGAGAGAGAGAGAGAGAGAGAGAGAGAGAAGGAGAGAGAGAGAGAGAGAGAGAGTGAGAGTGAGAGAGAGAGAAAAAGAGAGAGAAAGAGAGACAAAAGAAAAAGCAACGAGAAATATTCTTTTAATGTTGGCGTCCACTCGATGTCCGAATCAATAAGACAAGTCGTTGAAAATGTTGGTCACAATATCCAGAGACGAACCGTTAATTTTGGGTGCCTTGGGCTAACATTACTTTACCTATGCCAGTACTTGGAATTATTTTTGGTGCAAAAAACAAAACGGTTGGTTTTGCCGTTTATTTTTGCTCTTTAATTAGACGGGGCTCCGGACTGTAGCCCATAAAGACCATGCCTAAATCCGCCTTTGATAATATGCTTTAGTTTCATATCTAACGAAGAAGCAACTCGAAACAAACACGCTAGCGCGTGTAACATTTTCATTTACGAAAAATTTTACACACGTATGTGATTTTGTATAAATTCAATTCTTTTTTTTCTACATTTGTTAAAACACAAACATAAACATAACGAACGGATTTTAAGTTGCAAATGTTTATTACCAGATAATTTGATACATTCTGTGTGTTATATCATAATCTGTTATCTCACTCACCACGACGTGTATACAGACATTAACGATCGCTTCTCCTTCTCTCTCCTACTTATGAGTGTCGCTGCGATATCTACTCTCTACCGTCTTACGTAAACTAAATGACGTCGAGCATATAAAAGGAAGTGATTACTCGCAGCAGTAGGTAGAGTAGCATTCAGTCGCACGCTTTCCGTTTGTATCGATATCGCGTCAAAGCTGCCAACGCGTTTCGTCGTCGACATGGACGTTTGGATATTGTTGGCCATCCTAGCTGGCACCATAGCTGTGTATTACTATTTCTTCAAGGATTTAAATTACTTCAAGAAGCATGGAGTTCTTTACATGCCGCCGTTGCCTATCGTGGGCAACATGGGACCAGTTTTCTTTCGGCAGTTGTCATTGGCCGAACTTTCACAGAAAGCCTACAATCTGAACCGAGACGCCAAGTACATCGGTTTGTTCGACGGCATGAATCCAATAGTGATGATTCGCGATCCGGAACTCATTAAAACCGTCGGTGTCAAACAGTTTGAATCGTTCACCGATCATCGCGCTTTCATTGACGAAGCAAACGACCCGATGTTCGGTAAGAATCTATTTTCGCTACGCGGCGAGAAGTGGAAAGACGTGAGAAGCCTGATCACTCCCGCTTTTACGTCCAGCAAAATGAGGAGTATGTTCACGTTAATGTCCGATTGCGCTGTTAGTTTTACCGATTTCCTGTCGAATTTACCGCCGGACAAGAGAATAATTCAAACGAAGGATTGCTTCACCAGATATACGACCGATGTTATTGCGACGTGTGTTTTCGGCATCAAAGTCGATTCCATGAGAAATCCGAACAATGAGTTTTATATTTACGGAAAAGAAGCCACAACCATGTACTTAACGCGCGCTATAAAATTCTATTTTGTAAGAAGTATGCCTCGTATCAGCAAATTGCTGGGCATGAAATTTGTCAGCGAGCACGTACGCGTGTTTTTCATGGATATTGTTAGAAATACGATACACATAAGAGATACGCAGGATATCGTACGACCGGACATGATGCAGATAATGATCGAGACCAAAGGAAAGAAGGGAAAAGAATTGACTGTCGAAGATATGACTTCTCAGGCGTTTGGATTTTTCTTTGGCGGTTTCGACACCGTTTCTACCTTAATGTGCTTTGCCGCTCACGAAATTGCCGTTCATCCGGATGTTCAAGCGAGATTGCGCGACGAAATAAATAATGTTCTCAAATCAACAAACGGGACAGTGACGTATGAAGCTTTAAACGGAATGCAGTATCTGGACGCTGTGCTCAACGAGACTCTTAGATTATGGCCTGTGGCGGTGTTTTTAGATAGAACTTGCACGCAGGAATTCGAATTGCCACCAGCGTTTCCCGGCGCCAAACCCTTCGTTATGAAGAAAGGAAAAAGCATTTGGTTTTCGACTTATGGTCTTCATCGAGATCCACAATATTGGGAGGAACCGGATAATTTTAATCCTGATCGATTTTTTGACAAGAAAAATATAAATTCAATCGCATACATCCCATTTGGACTCGGTCCAAGAGTATGTATAGGCAACAGATTCGCATTATTGGAAACCAAAGTAATGTTGTTTCATCTGTTGGCTCGTTGCGAATTAAAACCATGCAAAAAAACCTGTCATCCGTTGAAGTTGGACAAGACTTTTACTATGCAACCGAATACAGGATTCTGGTTGGAGATTCAACCGAGAAGCCATACATATGTGTCTAACGGCGCGGCTAATAGTCACATTTAAAGTGTACTACAGTGACAACTGTTTCTTAAATTCGTTACGACAGACTTAAATTAGAAAATATTTAGAAAACTGACGTATGAGCGCTTTGTGTCATGTGTATATGTAAATACTGTAGTTTAAATTAAAGAATTAAACAATATCATTGTGTTAGTTTAGATGCAAATAGAGATAAATAATTATTTCTAAGAACAAGAAAAGTTGCAAAGACATTTATCACACAAATTATCATGCAATTATCATACAAATATCATACAAATTCGAGTTTGTTGATAAATTGTTGGAAAAATTAACTATTGTATCTATTTCTTGATCTTTCTTTGTTAATATGTACTGTCATATAAGTATAAACTTATAACGATACTATAACGTTCTTTTTTAAATATGTCTTACATTTACACTATATGTAATGTGTATCTTTTTATATTGTGTTGTATTTACTTAGCATAAATCAAAATAAATAAAATATATGTTAAGATAAACAAAACTACAATTGAGTATAACTACAGAATCTTTCTAACAACGACGATTATATCACATATGACAACACATTATTGAGAAACTAAATCAATTGAATTGATATCAGAGAAAAGTAGACTTGCATGTTTGAAAAAAAGTCAAGATTCAATAACGAAGTAATCTTGTTTAGATATTACATGTAGTATATCTTATCTAGAAAAATTGTATTGTGATTGCTACACGTTCACATTAATACTTTGTACCACAAACCTTTTTAATTCAATAATTCAGAATAGACAATATTATTAAAGCAGCATTGAATAATAAACAATTTTGATAAATAATAAAAGTAAATTCCTTACATAAAACAAATACTAAATAAAATAATTTGAATAAAATATTTTACTAATAAAATAAGTACTTATATAATTATTTAAAACTACAGTAGAAACTCTCATATATTCAAACTCTTATTATCCGAATAATCTTAATATCCAAACATTCTGTTATTCGAACAACGTTTCGTATATATAGCGATGTTTATATTCAATATATTTACATGTATGTTCGGATGATAGAATGTTCGGATATTAGGATTATTCGGATAATGGGGGTTCGGATATGGGACTCTCTACTGTACTTCAAAAAAGTTAAATACTATAAAAAATATAACTAGTAATAGTTCAAACTATCTATCGTGAATTACATTATTATCTTTATTAAAAGATTATACACACAATCAGTGCGTGTGTGTGTAAATATGTGTGTATGTATGTGTGTCACATACACATTTAAACATACTATACTTACAATTTAAACTAATCATGCTAGATAAAGTAGATATTACCAAGTGTCAATTGCAATTTGTCTTTCTTGCATCATTTCCGCGCAGGAATAAAAATGACTCATTAGAAATGTTACTTGAATGTTCGCAGTAGGAATATGTAGTCCAACAGTCGCTTGCTGTCGCTCGTGGCGGCAACATCGTATAGTGGTGTGCTATATCAATTACAATTTTCGCTTGTACATAAATACCTGGAAAGATTCATTTTAAAGTCTATTTACCATGGATATCTGGTCGATATTTTTATCAATAATAATCGGTGCTTTTGGCATCTATTATCTTTTTCAACATTTTAATTTCTTTAAAAGACACAGTGTTATTCACATACCGTCTATACCAATACTCGGCAGTATGTCATCTCTTATATTTCAACTATCTATTATCGATTTTATAAAGAAGATATACAACTTCAACACGGATGCGAAATACATTGGAATGTACGACATGATGAGTCCGGTGCTTTTACTACGTGACCCGGAACTTATAAAAACTGTCCTACTCAAGAATTTTCAAGTATTTCCCAATCGCCGCGGTTTAGGCGATTTGAACGATCCTTTATTTTCGAAGAGTCTGTTCTCTCTTCAAGGAGAAAAGTGGCGGAATGTGAGAAACTTGCTAAGTCCTTCTTTTACGTCCAGTAAAATGAAGAATATGTTCATTTTAATGTCAGAATGTGCGGCAGATTTCGTTAAATATCTGTCAGAATTACCAGTAAGTGATAGCGATACAAATATGAAAGACGCTTTTACTAAATACACGACCGACGTCATCGCCACTTGTGCTTTCGGGATCAAGGTCGATTCTATGAAAGATCCGGAGAACAAATTTTATGTGTATGGCAAAGAATTGACGAATTTAACCGGTCTTCGTGCCCTCAGATTTCTCTTTCTCAGAACATTTCCAAAGCTCAGTAATCTTCTCCGTATGGAAATTTTTGAAAAGAAAGTGTCCGACTTTTTCAGAGACAGTATACAAACCACAATTGCTACCCGTGATGCCGAACACATTACACGTCCGGATATGCTACAATTGATGATGGATGTAAGAGATACAGAAGATCGACGAGTATTGGACATAGAAGAAATAGTCGCACAGGCGTTTGTATTCTTCTTTGGTGGTTTCGATCCAACCTCAACCACAATGTGTTTCGCAGCCCACTCTCTCGCGATGAATTCCGATGTCCAAATTAAATTACGACAAGAAATCGACAAGGTGCTCGAAGAGTCGGGCGGAAAAGTAACCTATGAAACAATTAACCATTTGGAATATTTAGAAGCGGTAATAAACGAGACTCTCAGAATGTACTCAGTAATTCCTTTTTTGGAAAGAATATGCGAGACAGATTACGAATTACCGCCCGCATTGCCAGGCGAGAAATCTTTCGTCATGAAGAAGGGTATGATTTTATTTATTCCAGTCGTCGCGATCCATTGTGATGAAAAGTATTACGATAATCCAGAAGAATTTCGTCCGGAAAGATTTTTTAACAAAACGTACCACAACTCTCTGTGTTATTCGCCGTTTGGAGCAGGTCCGCGCATGTGCATCGGTAACAGATTTGCCTTGCTTGAGATTAAAGTGTTGCTGTTTTACTTATTGGCGCGTTGCGAACTGAAACCTTGCGCGAAAACTGCGATACCAATGAAATTGAAAAAAGGTGCGGTAATAGCTCCAGAAAACGGATTCTGGTTGAATATTCAACGAAGAAGCGATATGCATCCTGCTCTCGAATCTACAATGAGCAATGTTACGTGTTAGGAATGCAGTACAAGTAAAACAATAATTATTACTGATAATATGTAATAATATGTATATTAAGTATAATAAATGTGTATAACTAAATTTAAGTGACACTATTGTATGCACATACGTGCGTGTGTGTATATAAATAGGTCACATATATATAACAATACAAAAATACTTAAAATCTTAAAAACTCATGTTGGATCCACTGAATATTAATCAAATGTGATATCAAGTGTAAATTCGCTTTCTCTTTCCTTCTCTTGCATTATCTGAGCTCGAGAATAACAGTGACTCACTTAAAGTACACTTGTTATATAACGCGATTGGAGTCTGTAGTCCAGTAGTTGCTTGCAATCGCTCGTAGGGGCAACATCGTATATTCATGCGCTATATCGAGTGTTCCAATCGTCGCTCGTGTAATTAAATACCTGGCAAACTTCATTTTAAAGAATAACAAAAATGGATTTGTGGTCGATATTGTTATCGATAATGATTGGTGCTTTTGGCATTTATTATCTCTTTCAAAAATTTAATTTTTTTAAAAGACACGATATTATCCACATACCGTCTGTACCGCTACTCGGCAGCATGGCACCTTTTATATTTCGTCAAATATCTATTATCGATTTCATGAAGAAAATGTACAACTTCAATCCGGATGCGAAATACATTGGAATGTACGAATCAACGAGTCCGGCGCTTGTGCTTCGTGATCCTGAACTTATAAAAACTGTCTTAGTCAAGAATTTTCAAATATTTCCCAATCGCCGCGGTTTTGCCGATTTGAACGATGTGTTATTTGCAAAAAATTTGTTCTCTCTTCAAGGAGAAAAATGGCGAAATGTGAGAAACTTGTTGAGTCCTTCTTTTACGTCCAGTAAAATGAAGAACATGTTCACCTTAATGTCAGAATGTGCGGCGGACTTCGTTAATTATCTGTCAGCATTACCAGTGAGTGATAGCGATATAAATGTAAAAGACGCTTTTACTAAATACACGAACGATGTCATCGCCACTTGTGCTTTCGGGATCAAGATTGATTCTATTAAGGATCCGAAAAATAAGTTTTACGTTTACGGCAAAATGGTGACGAGCTTCACTGGTCTTCGCGGTCTCAGGTTTCTCTTTCTCAGAACATTTCCAAAGCTCGGTAATTTTCTTCGTGTGAAAATTGTTGATAAAAAAATATCAGACTTTTTCATGGATAGTATACAAACCACAATCGCTACCCGTGATGCTGAACACATTACACGTCCAGATATGCTACAGTTGATGATGGATGTAAGAGACAAAGAAGGTCGACGAGTATTGGACATAGAAGAAATGGTTGCACAGGCGTTTCAATTTTTCTTTGGTGGCTTTGATACAAGCGCGACCACAATGTGTTTCGCAGCCCACTTGCTTGCGACTAATACGAATGTTCAAATTAAATTACGGCAAGAAATCGACAAGGTGCTCGATGAGTCGAGAGGAGAAGTAACTTACGAAACGATCAACCATCTGGAATATTTAGAAGCGGTAATAAACGAGACGCTCAGAATGTACGTACCGGTCCCCATGTTGGAAAGAATGTGCGAGGCAGATTACGAATTACCACCAGCATTGCCGGGCAAGAAACCTTTCGTTATAAAGAAAGGTATGATGCTGTTGATTCCTATCTTAGCGATGCATTATGACGAAAAATACTACGATAATCCAGAAGAATTTCGTCCGGAAAGATTTTTGAATAAAACGTACCACAACTCTCCGTACTATTTGCCATTTGGGGCAGGTCCGCGTATGTGCATCGCTAACAGATTTGCTTTGCTGGAGGTTAAAGTGTTATTGTTTTACTTATTAGCGCATTGCGAACTGAAACCTTGTGCGAAGACAACATTGCCTATGAAATTTAAGAAAGGTTTCGTAATAGCTCCAGAAAACGGATTCTGGCTAAATATTCAACGCAGAAGCGATATGCATCCTGCTCTCGAATCTATATTGAATAATGGTGTTAAGTCTTAATAAAACTTTATAAGCGAAAAATAAAATATTATTAAACTAAAAACAACATTTATAAAACAAAAAACTAAAATATTTCTTAGTTTAAAATATTACTGATAATTTGTAATGTATATTATAATTATAATAATTTTTATGTATATATATTATTGTGTGTGTGCATGCGCGTGCGTGTGTGTGTATAAGTACGTCACATATACAAACATAAAAAAATTTTTCAAATTAATAAATCATGTCGGATACACTGGAGTGAGTCAAACAAAGTATCAAGTGTAGATTGTTTCTTTCTCTCTTTCTCTTGTAGTATCTGCGCTCAAGAATAACTGATTCGTCATAAGTACACTTGTTATATAACGCTGTCGAAGTCTGTAGTCCAGCAGTTGCTTCCACTCGCTCGTAGTGGCAACATCGCATATGCGCTATACCGCTTGTGACACTGTTTGCTCATACAATTAACTTCTGGGGAGATTCTTTTTAAAGACAATTTTCGCCATGGACTTCTGGGTGATATTGTTATCAATAGTGATCGGTGCTTTTGGCATCTATTATTTCTTTGAACGTTTCAATTTTTTTAAAAGACATGGTGTTATTCACATAACGGGAGTTGGTAATATGTTATCTCTTATATTTTCTCAAATATCTATTGTCGATTTCATTAAAAAGGCATACAACTTTAATCGGGATGCAAAATATATTGGAATGTACACGACAAATCCTGCAATTTTACTTCGTGATCCGGAACTCATAAAAGCTGTTCTGATCAAGCATTTCGAAGTATTTCCCAATCGCGAGGGTTTCGCTTATGTGAACGATCCTTTATTTTCAAAAAATCTGTTTTCTCTTCAAGGGGAAAAATGGCGGAACATGAGAAATTTGTTGAGTCCTTCTTTTACGTCTAGTAAAATGAAGAATATGTTCACACTGATGTCAGAATGTGCAGCGGATTTCGTCGAATATCTGTCAGCATTACCAGTGAGTGATAGCGATATAAATGTTGAAGACGCTTTCACTAAATACACGACCGATGTTACCGCCACATGTGCTTTCGGGATCAAGATCAATTCTATGAAAGACCCGAAGAACAAGTTTTATGTTTACGGCAAAGAGGTGACCGATTTCTCCGCAATTCGTATGCTCAAGCTTATGTTTTCAAGAATATTTCCGAAGATCGATAATTTTCTCCGTCTCAGGATTATAAATAAGCACGCGTCAGATTTTTTCACAGATATTATACAAACTACAATTGCTACTCGTGATGCTGAACACATTACACGTCCGGATATGCTACAATTGATGATGGATGTAAGAAGCGAAGAAGGTCGACGAGCATTCGACACAGAAGAATTAATCGCACAAGCGTTTGTGTTTTTCTTTAATGGTTTCGCCACTAGCTCGATCACAATGTGCTTCGCAGCCCATTCGCTCGCGGCTAATCCGGATGTTCAAATTAAATTACGGCAAGAAATTGATAAGGCGCTCGAGGCGTCGAGCGGAAAAGTATCTTACGAAACAATCAACCATCTAGAATATTTAGAAGCGGTAATAAACGAGACTCTCAGAATGTACGTACCAGTACCTTTTTTGGAAAGAATGTGCGAGACAGACTACGAATTACCGCCCGCGTTGCCGGGCGAGAAGCCTTTCGTCATGAAGAAGGGTATGATGGTTTGGATTCCGATCTTCGCAATGCATTATGACGAAAAGTACTACGATAATCCAGAGGAATTTAGTCCGGAAAGATTTTTGAACAAAACGTATCATAACTCTCCATATTATTTGCCATTTGGAGCAGGTCCGCGCGTGTGCATTGCCAACAGATTTGCCTTGCTTGAAATTAAAGTGGTGTTGTTTTACTTATTGGCGCATTGCGAACTAAAACCTTGTGCAAAAACTACGACACCAACGAAATTCAAAAAAGGTTTAGTAGTAACTCTAGAAAACGGATTTTGGTTAAATATTCAGCCCAGAAGCGATGTGCATCCTGTTTTTGAATCTACAATAAGTAACGTTAAGACTTAAGGAGATAGTGCAATCAGGCAACTAAAATAGTATTTGTGTCAAACGAGAGAGAAAGATTAAGGGAAAGAAAATAAAAAGTGTATAGATAAAATATATTAATTGTATGTAAAAGGTGAAAGAAAAAAATCTTATTCATTGAGATATTAGACTTGTAATCTCTTATTTTTAAATCACGTGCAATCATCAGATAATCGGTAATAAGAAATTTCAGTCCTCAAATATGTCTCTTTTAATATCTTTCGAAATAAATGCAAATAATATCTTTGATCAATGCACTAAAGATACATTTGGTAATAGGCGTGTGAAAAAGTTCAAGGTCAAAAACTGTAACAATAAATCTAAAAAACTTGCTTTACGTAAAGATTAACAACAGTTATAAGAAAGAGAATAATGTAAAATATTAATTAAAAAACAAATAATTTACAACTAAACAATGTAAGAATATTTTTACCTGTGTCTTTTTTTTATAAAGAAAGAATACATTGTTTTTTTTACGATAATGTTACGGTCTCTTGTTTATCAATTCTTAGCCCTTATCTTGCAAGCAATGCTAATTAAACAGCGAGTTTAGTTTAAGTGAATTACATAAGAAAAAATACTTTACTCTTATTATTGAGGACGTATATACTACTATCAATGCGTAGATTCTTGCATCATGCCAGCACTTGAATACGAATGACGTATCACAAGAAACTGGAATGATTAATATAGCGCGGTAGGAACCAGTAGTCTAGCAGTAGCTTGCACTCGATCGTGGTGACAACATCATATATTGGTGTGCTATATCTAGTGTTTTAATCTTTGTACGTACATTTAAACTCCGGCAAAAGTTTTGCAGAATATTTTGCCATGGATTTCTGGTCGATTTTGTTATCGATAATAATCGGTGTCTTCGGCATTCATTATCTTTTTCAACACTTTAACTTCTTTAAAAGACACGGAATTATCCACATACCGTCTAAGCCGATACTTGGTACTATGTCATCTGCTATATTTCGACGAATATCATTCGTTGATTACATAAAGAAAACGTACAACTACAATTCGGATGCAAAATACATTGGAATGTACGGAACGACAAATCCGGTGTTTCTGCTTCGTGATCCAGAACTTATCAAAACTGTGCTGATCAAGAATTTTGAAGCATTTCCCAATCGCCGTGGTTTTGACGAATTCGACGATCCTCTATTTTCCAAGAATCTGTTCTCTCTTCAAGGGGAAAAATGGCGGAATGTGAGAAACCTGTTGAGTCCTTCTTTTACGTCCAGTAAAATGAAAAACATGTTCACACTGATGTCAGAATGCGCAGTGGACTTTGTTAAAAATCTGTCAGAATTAACAGTGAGTGACAGTGATATAAATTTAAAAGACGCTTTTACTAAATACACGAACGACGTCATCGCTACTTGTGCTTTCGGGATCAAGATCGATTCTATGAAGGATCCGAAAAACAAATTTTATGTTTACGGCAGAGAGATGACAAACTTCTCGGGAACTCGTGCCCTCAAGTTTTTCTTTGTAAGAACATTTCCGATGCTCGGGAAACTCTTTCATATCAAGCTTATAAGTAAGGACACGGCAGACTTTTTCAGAAACATTATAGAAACTGCAATCGCTACCCGTGATGCCGAACACATTACACGTCCGGATATGCTACAGTTGATGATGGATGTAAGAGGCAAAGAAGGTCGACGAGCATTAGATATAGAAGAAATAGTCGCACAGGCGTTTATATTCTTCTTCGGTGGCTTCGACACTACTTCAACCACAATGTGCTTCGCCGCTCACTCGCTCGCGGTTAATCCTGATGTTCAAATTAAGTTACGGCAAGAGATCGACAAAGTGCTTGAAGCGTCGGGAGGAGAAGTAACTTATGAAGCGATCAACCATTTGGAATATTTAGAAGCGGTAATAAACGAGACTCTCAGAATGTACGCACCAATCGGCTTTTTAGAAAGAATATGCGAAAAAGATTTCGAATTACCGCCCGCGTTACCGGATGAGAAACCCTTCGTCATGAAGAAAGATATGGTGGTCTGGATTCCACTTTTTGCGATTCATTATGACGAAAAATATTACGATAATCCAGAAGAATTTCGTCCGGAAAGATTTTTGAACAAAACGTATCACAATTCTCCGTGTTATTTTCCGTTTGGAGCAGGTCCGCGCATGTGCATTGCCAACAGATTTGCCTTGTTGGAAGTTAAAGTGTTGTTGTTTCACTTATTGGCGCGTTGCGAACTGAAACGTTGTGCGAAGACTACATGGCCAATGAAATTCAAGAAAGATGCAACAGTAGCTCCAGAAAACGGATTCTGGTTGAATATTCAACGTAGAAGTGATGTGCATTCTGATCGTGAATCTACCATGAATAACAGCGTTAATTTCTAAGATGACAGTATAAGCAGGAAAATAAAATATTTTATAGTTATTAAGAGAGAAAGAGAGAGAAAGAGAGAGAGAGAATAAATAAACATTGTATAAATTGTTTTTATACAATGTGAAAGTGGAAAAAAACAAAAACAAAGGTTAATCAACTAAGATATATTTGTTATCTGTTATTTCTTATTTGGGTATCGCGATAAATAATGATAAGAATGAGTAATTTTTAGTCTGTAAATATTTTTTGTTTGTTTATCAAAAAAATTACAAGTTACATTTTTTATTTATTGAAGGATCTTGTATTTAACTTATATGTACTACTTGTAATATTGCGATCTTGGTATGATTTTAAAATTTAAATTGATCCATTGCGAAATAATGCTAATTAAAGATCTATTTGGTAATATATGTAAACAAGATTCAGTTCAAAAACAGAATTATCTAAAAAACTGTCCGGACTGTTAAATTTCTAATATATTGTTTATATAAAAAAGAGTGGGATATAAAACATAGTAATAAAAAAAAAATAATCGGCGAAATAGATATATTACACAAAACTGTTGTTACTTGTATCTTTTTTAATATCTATATAATACATCGTTTTAGCGTTACAATTCCTAGTTTTCTTCAGCTCTTTTCTTACATGCGATAGTTCTTATCAGCGTTAACGTAAATGAAGAAGTACTGTTTCGCTCACCGATTATTTTCCCGTAGTACCATAAAGTATAGTATCATGCGTATGACGTATAGTATCACGCCAGCACTTGAATCAGAAAGACACTTGAACGTTTAAACACCGTAGTGGGGATCTGCAGTCCAGCAGTCGCTTTCAGTCACTTGTGGTAACAACATCGTATATTAGCGCGGTACATATAGTATTTCGATCTTTGCTTGTGTACTTAGATTCTGGCAAAAGATTTTTAAATAACATTTTACAATGGATTTCTGGTCAATAGTGTTATCATTAGGAATCGGTGTCTTCGGAATCCTTTATCTTTTTAAACAATTCAATCTTTGGAAAAGACATGAAGTTCTTTACATACCGTTAATATCGGTATTCGGCGGAATGTTGTCTGTAATATTTCGTCAAGTAACATTCGGCGATAACTTGAAGAAGATGTACAACTCCAATCCGGATGCAAAATACATTGGAATGTATCTCACGACAAAACCACTGTTTTTACTTCGTGATCCAGAACTTATAAAAGCTATTCTAATCAAGAACTTCGAAGTATTTCCTAATCGTCGCGGTTTCGGCGATTTGAACGAGTCTTTATTTTCGAAGAGTCTGTTCTCTCTGCAAGGAGAAAAATGGCGGAATGTGAGAAACTTGCTAAGTCCTTCTTTTACGTCCAGTAAAATGAAGAATATGTTCATTTTAATGTCAGAATGTGCGGCAGATTTCGTTAAATATCTGTCAGAATTACCAGTGAGTACCAGCGAAATAAATATAAAAGACGCTTTTACTAAATATACAAACGACGTCATTGCTACTTGTGCTTTCGGGATCAAGATCAATTCTATGAAAGATCCGGAGAACAAATTTTATGTTTATGGCAAAGAAGCAACCGATTTCTCGGGACTTCGTGGTTTCAAGTTGTTAATTTTCGGAACATTACCGATTCTCGGGAAAATTCTAAATCTCAAGATTCTAAGTAAAGACGCGTCAGACTTTTTCAGAGACAGTATACAAACCACAATCGCTACCCGTGATGCCGAACACATTACACGTCCGGATATGCTACAGTTGATGATGGATGTAAGAGGTAAAGAAGGTCGACGAGCATTAGATATAGAAGAAATAGTCGCACAGGCGTTTATATTCTTCTTTGGTGGCTTCGACACTACTTCAACCACAATGTGCTTCGCCGCTCACTCGGTCGCGGTTAATCCTGATGTTCAAATTAAGTTACGACAAGAAATCGACAACGTTCTCGAAGAGTCGCGTGGAGAAGTAACTTACGAAGCGATCAACCAGCTGGAATATTTAGAAGCGGTAATAAACGAGACTCTCAGAATGTACACACCAATCGGCCTTTTGGAAAGAATATGCGAAACAGATTACGAATTACCGCCTGCATTGCCAGGCGAGAAACCTTTCGTCATGAAGAAGGGTATGATATTTTGGATCCCAACTCTCGCGATTCATTATGACGAAAAGTACTACGATGATCCAGGAGAATTTCGCCCGGAAAGATTTTTGTACAAAAGGTATCACAATTCTCCAGTTTATTTGCCATTTGGAGCTGGTCCGCGTATGTGCATTGCCAACAGATTTGCCTTATTGGAAGTTAAAGTGTTGTTGTTTCACTTATTGGCGCGTTGCGAACTGAAACCTTGTGCGAAGACCACAATACCAATGAGATTCAAGAAAGATTCATCACTGGCACCGGAAAATGGATTCTGGTTGAATATTCAACGTAGAAGTGATACGCATTCTGATCTTGAATCTACATTAAATACCGGCATTAATTCTTAAGAATACAGTGTGAACAGGAAATAAAAATACTTTCCCTCTATCAAGAGGGAAAGAGAAAGAATGAGATAGATAATAGATATAATGAATTGATATAATTTAAAGAATAAAAAACCAAAAAAATTTAATCTATTGAGATATCATACTTGTATTTTTCAATTACGTGCAATCGTAATGATTGGAAATAAGAAATTTTAGTCTTAAAATATATCTCTTTTAATATCTTTCAAAATAAATACAAGTAATATCTTTGATCCATAAAATAAATTACTTGCGTACAATTTATACGATTTGCTTGTAATATTGCGACTTTAGTATGATAATTGTATGATTTGTATACACAAGAAAAATAACAAAGAAATATCACTTGTATCAAGTGTATATAATAACAGTTTATATATCAGTAAATATCATATGGTTTATGGAAGCATTTATTAAACGTACAATTTAAAAACTTTTATCAAATTTTTAAACTATTATCAAAAACATAGTCTTTGTTAAAGATTTCTATTACTTAAAAAAAGAAAATAAACTAAATAATTATTTTTCTTAGTAATAGAATAATATTTTTCTATGTATGTACCTTTCAATTGAATCTACATTAAATACTGGCATTAATTCTTAAAAACACAGTGTGAAGAGGAAATCAAACTACTTTGTCTATTAAGAGAGAAAGGAAGAGAAAAAGAGAAGAAATATATTAAATTGATATAATTTAAAACATACAAAACCAAAAAAGTTTTATCTATTGAGATATCATATTTGTTATCTGTTATTTCTCATTTGCTTATCGCAATAGATAATAGAGAGGGAAAATTTTAATTATCACATATTTTATTATTTCTCAAATAACCAGAAGTAATATTTCTGATTAATGTAATAAAAGTTGCAATCTATACGGATTGCTTGTAACATTGCGACTTTGTTCTGATGCTATCTACTGTTGGATTGCAGCATAATGCCAATACATTAAAGATATATTTGTAATATATAAAGAAGGATTAGTTCACGGATTTCCACAAAAATTTGTTTGAACTGTAACGTTAAAAATATTTTAATTTATGTATATTAAGGAAGATAATAATGTACCCATAATAATAAAAACACAAAAATAATTTGCCACATAGATCTTACAAGAATGTTTTTGTATCTTTTTCAATTTTTTCATAATGAAAAAATACATCGATTTACAGTAGCTTTACATTATCTACTTTCTCATTATTCAGCCTTTCTATTCAATCCTTCTTAAACAACATTAAGAGAAAATTTACTTAGATTAAAAAAATTGTTTTTACCGTATACTTTTGCAGATGTGAGTAATAGTGAATCAACTTAGATTCTTGCATCATGCCAATTGAATAAGAGTAACTTACATGAGAAGAATACGTGAATATATTTATATAACGTGGTGGGGATCTGCAGTCCAGCAGTCGCTTGCAGTCGCTCGTGGTGTCAACATCGTATAGTAGCGCGCTAAATCGAGTGTTTAAATTTTTGCTCGTACATTTAAACTCTGGCAAAATCTTTAAAGAAAATCTTGCCATGGATTTCTGGTCAATATTGTTATCGGTAATAATCGGAGTTTTCGGCATCAATTATCTCTTTAAGCATTTCAATTTCTTTAAAAGACATAATGTTATTCACATACCGTCTGTACCGATATTCGGCAGTATGACATCTCTCGTATTTCGTCAAATATCATTTGTCGATTTCACGAAAAAGATGTACAACCTCAACCCGGATGCAAAGTATATTGGAATGTACGCCACGACGAATCCAGTGTTTTTGCTTCGTGATCCGGAACTTATAAGAACTGTACTAATCAAGCATTTTGAAATATTTCCCAATCGACGCGGTTTCAGCGATTTTAACGATCCTTTATTTTCAAAGAATTTGTTCTCTCTTCAAGGAGAAACATGGCGTAAAGTGAGAAATCTGCTAAGTCCTTCTTTTACGTCTAGTAAAATGAAGAACATGTTCACACTGATGTCAGAATGTGCAGTGGACTTTGCTAAACACATGTCGAAATTATCAGTGAATGATACCGATACAAATATAAAGGACGCTTTTACTAAATACACGAACGACGTCATCGCCACTTGTGCTTTCGGGATCAAGATCGATTCCATGAAAGATCCGGAGAACAAGTTTTATGTTTACGGCAAAGAGGTGACGAACTTCTCAGGACTTCGTTCTCTCAAGTTTCTCTTTCTCAGGACATTTCCAAAGCTCGGGAAGTTCTTTCATATCAAGCTTATAAGTAAGGACGCGTCAGATTTTTTCAGAGACAGTATACAAACCACAATCGCTACCCGTGATGCCGAGCACATTACACGTCCGGATATGCTACAGTTAATGATGGATGTAAGAAATAAAGATGGTGGACGAGCATTAAACACAGAAGAAATAGTTGCAGAGGCGTTTGTATTCTTCTTTGCTGGCTTCGAGACTACTTCAACTACACTATGCTTTGCAGCTCACTTGCTTGCGACTAATCCGGATGTTCAATTTAAGTTACGGCAAGAAATTGACAAGGTGCTTGAGGAGTCGAATGGAGAAGTAACTTATGAAGCGATCAACCATCTCGAATATTTAGAGGCGGTAATAAACGAGACTCTTAGAATGTACTGCCCAGTCACCGTTATAGAAAGAATGTGTGAGGCAGACTACGAATTGCCACCCGCTTTGCCGAACGAGAAACCTTTTGTCATGAAAAAGGGTATGATATTTTGGATTCCGATCTTTCCAATTCATTATGATGAAAAGTACTATGATAATCCAGAAGAGTTTCGTCCGGAAAGATTTTTTAACAAAGCGTACCATAACTCTCCATATTATTTGCCGTTTGGAGCAGGTCCGCGTATGTGCATCGCTAACAGATTTGCTTTGTTGGAGATTAAAGTGTTGTTGTTTCACTTATTAGCGCGTTGCGAACTGAAACCTTGCGCAAAGACCACATTGCCAATGAGATTCAGTAAGAAAGGTGTCGTAGTAATAGTTCCAGAAAATGGATTTTGGTTGAATATTCAACGTCGAAGCGATATGCATCATATTTTTAAAACTACAGAGAATAATGACGTTATTTCTTAAATAGATATTGTAAACTAGTAAATAAGATACAATTTGTAAAATATAATATTGAGAGGAAGAAGGAGAGTGAGAGAGAGAGAGAGAGAAGGTATAATAATACTTTTCTAAGATAGATAAAAATAATTTTATTGAGAATTATGTTTAGTATTTGTTAGGTTTTAAACATGTAAAATAATAGTTAATTAATATTGTAGATAATGTGGGAAAAAGACAAAGTTTTAGTATTTAAATATATATAAAATATAAATGAGACTTTTTTATTCTTTATCAAAATAAATACAAGTGATATTTGTGATTCATAAAACAAACTATCAACAATCGCACTTAAACTTTTATAGCGTATTTTAGATTGTTAGTAGCATTGTAATTTTGTTATATGATTTTAAGATCTGAACAATTTAATTGTGATTCCAATAATACCAAGATTGCTTTAGAAGTAATTTGGAAATATATATAAAAAAGATCGAGTCAAAAACAATATTCTGTTATATATAAAGGAGGGACTAATTTAAAACATAATGAGAAAAAAAAACAAATATAATTTGTAAATTACATATTAAAATATTTTTCAATGTCTTTATATTAAAAGAATACTTTATTTAAACCTTAAACTTTTAGTTTATCATTTCTCAAGTCTATTCTTACATATAGTTTTTCTTAACCAACGTTAAGTGAATTAAACAAGAAATACTTTTACCGATTATTTTATTATCGCAGATGTATATCACTTTGTTGATTCTTGCATCATGCTAGCACTTGAATAAGAATGACTTGCATCAGTAGAATACTTGACAGCTCATACATCGTAGTGGGGATCTGTAGTCCAGAAGTCGCTTTCAGTCTCTCGTGCTGATAACATCGTATAATGGCGTGGTATATTTGTTACAATCTTTGCTGATACAAATCAACTCTGGCAACAGTTGTAAAAACTATTGTGCCACGGATTTCTGCTCAATATTGTTATCGATATTAATCGATGTCTTTGGCATTCAATATCTCTTTAAAATTTTCAATTTCTTTAAAAGACATGGTGTTCTCCACATATCGCCTATTATATATCAATATTTGGCAGTTAATCATTTGTTATATTTCGTCAAATATTATTCGTCGATTTCATGAAGAAGATATACAACTTCAGTCCGGATGCAAAATATAATGGAATGTATTTCATGACAAATCCAGTGGTTTTGCCTCGTGATCCGAAACTTATATAAGCTATTCTGGTCAAGAACTTCGAATTATTTTCTAATCGTCGCGGTTTCGGCGATTTGAACACATTATTTTTTATATGCAAAAGAAAGAATAATTTAAAACTTATTAATAAAAAACAAACATACTTTGACAAATAAATATTACAAGATTGTTTTTATTTTCTTCAATGTTTTTACAATAAAAAAAACACATCATTTATATCTTACACTTCCTAGTTTATCACTTCTCAAATCTTCTCTTTCACACGGTTTTACTTAAACAATGTTAAGTGAATTAGAAAAAGTAATTTCGCCGATTATTTTATTATCGCAAGTGTATATCACTTTTTGGATTCTTGCGTCATCCCAGTACTTGAAAAAGAATGACTTGCATCAGAAGAACACTTGAAAGTACATATAACGTAGTGGGGATCTGTAGCCCAGCAGTCGCTTCCAGTCGATCGTGCTGACAACATCGTATACTGGCGCGTTATATCAGTTACAATTTTTGCTCGTAGAAATAAATTGTGGCAACAGTTTTGAGGAATATTTTGCCATGGATTTCTGGTCAATATTGTTATCGATAGTAATCGGTGTCTTTAGCATTAATTATCTCTTTAAAAATTTCAATTTCTTTAAAAGACATGGCGTTATTCACATATCGCCTATACCAATACTCGGCAGTATGTCACCTGTTATATTTCGTCAAACATCACTCGTCGATTTCATAAAGAAGATGTACAACTTGAATATGGATGCAAAATATATAGGAATGTACGCGACGACAAATCCGGTGTTTTTGCTTCATGATCCGGAACTTATAAAAGCTGTTCTGGTCAAGAATTTCGAAGTATTTCCCAATCGTCGCGGTTTCGCCGGGAACGATCCTCTATTTTCAAAGAATCTATTCTCACTTCAAGGGGAACAATGGCGAAATGTGAGAAACCTGTTGAGTCCTTCCTTTACGTCCAGTAAAATGAAGAATATGTTCACACTGATGTCAGAATGTGCAGTAAACTTTGTTCAAAATCTGTCAGAATCACTAGTGAGCGATAGTGATATAAATTTAAAAGACGTTTTTACTAAATACACAAATGATGTCATTGCTACTTGTGCTTTTGGGATCAAGGTCGATTCTATGAAGAATCCGGAGAACACGTTTTATGTTTACGGCAAAGACGTGACGAACTTTTCAGGACTTCGTTCTCTCAAGTTTCTCTTTCTCAGGACATTTCCAAAGCTCGGGAGATTCCTTAATATCAAGCTTATAAGTAAGGACGCGGAAGATTTTTTCAGAAACATTATACAAACCACAATCGCTACTCGTGATGCCGAACATATCACACGTCCGGATATGTTACAGTTGATGATGGATGTAAGAGGCAAAGACGATCGACGAGCATTGGACATAGATGATATGGTCGCACAGGCGTTTGTATTTTTCCTTGGTGGCTTTGACACCACCTCGACTACACTGTGTTTCGTAGCCCATTCTCTCGCGGCTAATCTTGATGTTCAAATTAAATTACGGCAAGAAATCGACAAGGTGCTCGATGAGTCGGGAGGAGAAGTAACTTACGAAGCGATAAACCATCTCGAATATTTAGAAGCTGTAATAAACGAGACCCTCAGAATGTACTCACCAATCCCCTTTTTGGAAAGAGTGTGCGAGACGGATTACGAATTACCGCCTGCATTACCGGGTGAGAAACCTTTCGTTATGAAGAAAGGTATGGTAATTTGGATTCCAACTCTTGCGATCCATTATGACAAAAAGTACTACGATAATCCAGAAGAATTTCGTCCAGAAAGATTTTTGAACAAAACGTATCACAACTCTCCGTATTATTTTGCGTTTGGAGTAGGTCCTCGCATGTGCATTGCCAACAGATTTGCCTTGCTGGAAGTTAAAGTGTTGTTGTTTCACTTATTGGCTCGTTGCGAACTAAAACCTTGCGCGAAAACCACATTGCCAATGAGATTCAGTAAGAAAAGTGCTTTTGTGGTAGCTCCGGAAAACGGTTTCTGGTTGAATATTCAATGTAGAAGCGATATGCGTTCTGATGTTAAATCTACAATTGATAACGGAAATATGTCTTAAGTAGATAGTATGCAGAAAAATAGAATACCTGTGTATCGTGTAGAATATTACTCGCGTATCGAGAAAGAGATAAAGTTGAAATAGATAAAATATACTAATATAATTCAAAAGATGAAAAAAACTTTTAATCCATTAAAATATCATATTTGTTATCTGTTATTTTTTATCGCGTATCGCAATAGATACCTAATGGTCGGAAAGACAAAATTTTTTGCGCATGTGTCTTTATTTATCAAAATAAATGTGACATCTTTGATCAATAAAATGAATTATTTGCATTCAATTTATACGGACTGCGTGCGATTCTGCGACTTTGGTATAATTTTATGGCCTAAGTCTTTCGATTGAGATTGAAGTATTGTCAATGGTTTAGACACATTCATGTAATATTATATATGTGAAAAAGTGCATGTTCAGCAACTGTAAAAAATACTCAATAAAACTAGATTATAAATATTAACAACATTATCTTATATATGAGAGAGAGTACATTGTAAAATAAATTAAAAAATAATAATAAATTGAGAATTAGATATTACAAGAGGTATATCTCATTTGTATTTTTTTTCAAGTGTATTATAATAAAAGAATACATCGTCTCGAGTTAGCCTTATGATCTTCAGTTCATCAATTCTTAGCCCTTCTCTTATGTACGGTCCTTCTTCGAACAGCATTAAGTGAATTGGATTAGAAGGAGTACTTTCATCGAATATTTACCTCGACGTATGTGTTAAAACAGTAGAAAATGGTAATTTTTGGTAAAAATTGTTACATTAAGTATTATAGTTTATATTACCTTAAAATATTATATTTGGTAGTTTAATTTACTTTATATTTTATTGTAAATGAATACAATAAAATATATTCTAATTATTATATATTATATAATATCTATAATATCTAGAAATTATATCTTTTTATGAGATGTATGTACGTATCTCTCTAAAAAATTAATTAGAATTTAGCTATACAGATTGAATAAATTTTATACACATAAAAAAAATATCGTGTTTTGCATATATTAATCAAATTCTTTCGTAAAACTTGCTTTAGATTGCGTGTCTGGTTCATTTCCGCACATTCTTACGTAATGATATTACTTATCTCATTGACGAGATACTTGGAAATACAGAGATACTACTACTAGTACTACTAGTAGTAGCAGAGAGAAACCTGAGAGCGGCCATTCTATTGTAATTTTTTACGACGGTTTCAGCCGCTGGTTTTAGGCGTATTTCCACAAAAGTGGAACTCAAAGGCCGTTCTCCATGAAACTCAAGTCGCAGGTCTCGTGGAACTGATCAATCACGTTGGTCGATTGGCTGATTTGACTCTGCAATTGGTCAATTCCACGAGATCTGATACTTGCGTTTAATGTAGAACGGCCTTTGAGTTCTACTTTTGTGGAAATACGGCTAAAACCAGCGGCTGAAACCGTCGTAAAAAATTACAATAAGATGGCCGCTCTCAGATTTCTCTCTGGTAGTAGTAAGATTTTATCTTCAGCAATAATAGTGCAGCGTTCTTCTTACTTAACAAGAACCACAGAGAGAGAGAGAGAGAGAGAGAAGCATATGCACACGTGATTTCTTCGAAAGAGCAGTGACCGTTATGAGGAGAGCTCGTGCTCCCGACCGCTCATTAAAGAGGCATTCACAAGGTCGTATCGCATCTCCGGGACCGCCCAATCACGTAACCGAATATATTATGTGACTGTTATCTCACCGTGCAACTGAGCGAGAACGTGCAACTAATTCAGATTTCCTTTCGGCCAATGCAAGAGGTCTATTACAGGCTCGACATGCAGAATCTCAAAGTCCTGACATCTATTATGTTATCAGATCGAAGGAATTATTCTTACAGATGTATACTCACACGAAAAATTGTCAATAACACATTAATTCAATTATAGGTATACGAAAACGTATTACATACATATTCCATTGCTATATTTATTTTATATACATATATAGTTAAATTGTGTGTTTTTTACTCAAGTTTTAATAGGATGCGTGCATGTATCTTATATTTAATGTGTATTGCACGCACCATTAAAGTATTATAATTTGACATACTATGTTATTAAGCATGAAATTTGACAAATATATGTCTAATTTATATATACTACATATATGTATATAGTATATACTATACTATATACAGGGTGTCTCATAACAAATGAATCAGCCGAAGTATGTAGATCGGGTCAATCCGAACAGAAAAGTTATTTGTCATTTTGCAAACTGTGCAATAGTTATTGAGATATGAATTGATAAATGTAGGCCAATAAGCGCGCGGGGGGCAATGATCGGACTCTATAGGCGTGCACGATTATCAGCTGTAAAGAAAAATGGCTTCTTTCATGCAATGTCTTAGCAATGAGAGGCGGAGAAACAAACAAGCGTGGCGCGACTCAGCTTCTTGCGATCGGGCGATATTAGGTGATACGCGGCGATACGCTCGCCGCTAAGTACCGCCGAATATCGTTTGATCGGAAGAAGCTAAAGCCGCGCCGCGCTTGTTTGTTTTTCCGCCTCTCATTGCTAACTCTCTTAAGTAGAATCAGTGCATTGTACTGAAAATCAGTAAATATTTACTGATTCAAAGAAGCGATTTTTCTTTACAGCTGATAATCGTGCACGCCTATAGAAGTCTTAAAGTAGGCCACTCTGTATATACATATATGTACAAATGTCAAATTGTGATAATAAGAGGATAGTAAAAAACACTTGTTGGTCACAGTTTAGTTAAATATAGAAATTATTTTAGTTTATAAAAAAATAAATCATCTATTACAAAAATATCATATATCATATTTTATACGTGATTTGCGTTATATATAATTACTCATATCCCTGAGGTTTATATTTCCAGACATCTTTATATCTAGACTGCGCGCGCCTAAAGTTTGAGTATACTTCTTGATAAATTCCGGAAATAAATTTCATCTAAAATCACAAAGAAAATCACGAAAAGAAATATTTCTTTAAATGTTTACAAATTTCAAGATTTTTATATTATCATGTAAATCAAGAAAGTATTCTTACAAAGTAGTTTTCTCAGAAATAGTGCGATGAGGCGTTTCTCTTGGAGTCACATTCAGCCAGATGCCTCCTTCGGCTTCCATATTAAAAGATTGTTTAGACATTTTTAGCGGTATCGATGTTTTCTCGCAAGGTTTCAGGTCGCAACGTGCTAGCAGATGAAAGAATAAAACTTTTGTCTCNTGGTCAATTCCACGAGATCTGATACTTGCGTTTAATGTAGAACGGCCTTTGAGTTCTACTTTTGTGGAAATACGGCTAAAACCAGCGGCTGAAACCGTCGTAAAAAATTACAATAAGATGGCCGCTCTCAGATTTCTCTCTGGTAGTAGTAAGATTTTATCTTCAGCAATAATAGTGCAGCGTTCTTCTTACTTAACAAGAACCACAGAGAGAGAGAGAGAGAGAGAGAAGCATATGCACACGTGATTTCTTCGAAAGAGCAGTGACCGTTATGAGGAGAGCTCGTGCTCCCGACCGCTCATTAAAGAGGCATTCACAAGGTCGTATCGCATCTCCGGGACCGCCCAATCACGTAACCGAATATATTATGTGACTGTTATCTCACCGTGCAACTGAGCGAGAACGTGCAACTAATTCAGATTTCCTTTCGGCCAATGCAAGAGGTCTATTACAGGCTCGACATGCAGAATCTCAAAGTCCTGACATCTATTATGTTATCAGATCGAAGGAATTATTCTTACAGATGTATACTCACACGAAAAATTGTCAATAACACATTAATTCAATTATAGGTATACGAAAACGTATTACATACATATTCCATTGCTATATTTATTTTATATACATATATAGTTAAATTGTGTGTTTTTTACTCAAGTTTTAATAGGATGCGTGCATGTATCTTATATTTAATGTGTATTGCACGCACCATTAAAGTATTATAATTTGACATACTATGTTATTAAGCATGAAATTTGACAAATATATGTCTAATTTATATATACTACATATATGTATATAGTATATACTATACTATATACAGGGTGTCTCATAACAAATGAATCAGCCGAAGTATGTAGATCGGGTCAATCCGAACAGAAAAGTTATTTGTCATTTTGCAAACTGTGCAATAGTTATTGAGATATGAATTGATAAATGTAGGCCAATAAGCGCGCGGGGGGCAATGATCGGACTCTATAGGCGTGCACGATTATCAGCTGTAAAGAAAAATGGCTTCTTTCATGCAATGTCTTAGCAATGAGAGGCGGAGAAACAAACAAGCGTGGCGCGACTCAGCTTCTTGCGATCGGGCGATATTAGGTGATACGCGGCGATACGCTCGCCGCTAAGTACCGCCGAATATCGTTTGATCGGAAGAAGCTAAAGCCGCGCCGCGCTTGTTTGTTTTTCCGCCTCTCATTGCTAACTCTCTTAAGTAGAATCAGTGCATTGTACTGAAAATCAGTAAATATTTACTGATTCAAAGAAGCGATTTTTCTTTACAGCTGATAATCGTGCACGCCTATAGAAGTCTTAAAGTAGGCCACTCTGTATATACATATATGTACAAATGTCAAATTGTGATAATAAGAGGATAGTAAAAAACACTTGTTGGTCACAGTTTAGTTAAATATAGAAATTATTTTAGTTTATAAAAAAATAAATCATCTATTACAAAAATATCATATATCATATTTTATACGTGATTTGCGTTATATATAATTACTCATATCCCTGAGGTTTATATTTCCAGACATCTTTATATCTAGACTGCGCGCGCCTAAAGTTTGAGTATACTTCTTGATAAATTCCGGAAATAAATTTCATCTAAAATCACAAAGAAAATCACGAAAAGAAATATTTCTTTAAATGTTTACAAATTTCAAGATTTTTATATTATCATGTAAATCAAGAAAGTATTCTTACAAAGTAGTTTTCTCAGAAATAGTGCGATGAGGCGTTTCTCTTGGAGTCACATTCAGCCAGATGCCTCCTTCGGCTTCCATATTAAAAGATTGTTTAGACATTTTTAGCGGTATCGATGTTTTCTCGCAAGGTTTCAGGTCGCAACGTGCTAGCAGATGAAAGAATAAAACTTTTGTCTCNAACAACGCGAATCTGTTACCTATGCACATTCTGGGTCCCAGTCCGAAAGGAAAATAAGCTCCGCTATTGAGACTTTCTTTTTTTCGTTCGCCAAGAAAACGTTCAGGATTGAACTTGCTTGGTTCATCGAAATATTTATAATCATGATGAAACGCATAAACCGGTATCCACACGCCTTGACCTTTTCTCACAGTATACGGCTTCACTCCCGGCAATGTCGAAGGCAGCTCGAAATCTTCTGTACATAGTCTATCAATTATTCTACCGATGGGATACTTTCTAAGTGTTTCGTTGACCACAGCGTCCAAATACTCCATAGAGTTGATCGCTTCGTAAGACGCTTCTCCGTTTGTCACTTCCAAGACCCGATCAATCTCGCTTTGAAGTTTGTCTTGTACATCCTGATTCACTGCAATCTCGTATGCGACGAAGCACATGGTTGAAGAAGTGGTTTCAAAGCCGCCAAAAAAAAAGATAAACGCCTGAGACACCATATCGTCGATAGTCAGTTCCGTCTTGCTTTCCTTATTTCTGGTATCCATCATCAACTGCAACATATTCGGCCTAACGATGCCGTTTGCATCTCTTGATTTCACCGTTTTATTCACAATAGAACGGAAGAAATTTACTACTTTATTACGAATAAGTTTCAACGATATTATTCGTCCTAACCTAGGTAAACTTCTTTGTAAGTAGGACTTCAAAACAACAACAAGATTGACAGTGATTGCTTCTTTGCCATATACGTAAAAGTCGTTGTTCGGATTTTTTAATGAGTCAACTTTGATACCGAATGCGCACGTAGCTATTACGTCATTGGTATATCTCGATAAAATATCTTTCATATCCGTCATTCTCTTTTCCGGTGATATTTGCCGCAGATAATCGCAGAAATCGATGCCGCACTCCGACATCAGCTTGAACATGTTTTTCATTTTGCTGGACGTAAAGGCCGGACTCAGTACGGATCGCACTTCGCGCCACTTCTCACCGCGAAGAGCAATGAGTAGATTACCGATAAGGGGATCTAGCGTTTCGTCGACGAAATCAATGTGATCCATGAAAGTGTTGAAATTTTTCACCATTACGGATTTGACAAGTTCGAGATCTCGAATCAGAATAACCGATTTGGTTAAATCGTACACGCCGACGTACTTGGCATCGGGATATGCGTTATAGACCGATTGCACAAAGTCACTTACTGCTTGACGATGGAAAAACAGCGGTCCCATATTTCCCACCACGGGAAGAGGTTGAATGTACGGTATACCATGTTTCTTGAAGTGATTAATGTTCTTGGTAAAGTAATAATAGATGCTAATTATTAGTGCCAAAACCGCAAGTATGTACATCATTTTTTACACGATAATTGCGTAATGAACGATAACTCGTTGGCGTATTAATAAGTCTGTTCTTTGTGATTATAACGGTGTTAAAGTTACATGTACAAAGGGCACCACCACGATAACTGTTGATGTTGTATTCATAAACGTATAAAAAATAGACTGCGCGTGTGAGAAGGGAAGTGAGTTAAACTTCGGAGACAGATGCTTTCATCCGAATCTTTGTCTCTATCTTTCAGCACCTGGAGTGGGGACTCCCCACTCGGGAGAAAACTCAAATAACGCTACATAACAGATTCTACGTAACGGCTTTGGTTGAGAAAGCCAATTCTGTAACATTTCTGTTATTTTTTGTATTATTTATTATTTTTCACAAATGTATAATTTAAAAATATAATAATGGTGCTATATGATTTAAA